CTTTGCCGTTAGCGCATTGTCTGCCCTCATTATAACAGGGATGAGGGCTATAGTCCTCAGTACTGCAAACGGCCGTAAATTTATTGTTAAGATGACAGCCAATGGATCCGCCGCAGCATATGTTGGCACCAAAACAGCGTCCGCTTCCCGACGGACCGCAACGCGTGCACTGAAATGCAGTTAATTAGTTAACATTAACATGCACAATTTAGAGCTTACAACATGTGATTCAATACCTGTTTTTTGGGCGTCTCGTGACTCAAAGACCTTTTGCCTCCCGGAGGACAGTTGGTTATAAAACAGGCCGACGTTATCACGATTATAACCACCAAAATACTCAAAATCATGAGACTTTTTTGTGAATTCATTTCGATTCAAGAATTGTTTCAAATGAAGTGAAGTTCGAGACAATGATATAACTCTGAATTTGACGATAAGATTCTCTGTTTATATAGCTTTTTCTGAAAGGAAAAGAAAGAATTCATTCATCCTTTCATAGACTGATCCATCGTTTTCTAAGTGTTCGCTAAATCTTTGTTTGATTGATAGCCATCTGATCACCGGTTGAGACCATAGAAGAGATTATGTGTTGAACGCAATGAATAAAACAATTTCTCATATTTAGAGCTCATATATGAATATAATGTAATCGAAGAATATTTTTGTCATAAAAATGAAGGCAAAGCCCACGCGAAAGGAGAGAGTTTTACTTTATTTAAATAATAGATCTTATATTAAATATAAATAAATATGAATTCGGAATAAAATAAACACATAATTAATATCAAAAGGTTTTATCATTTGAGTTGATTCTCATTTAAAGATAAATCTAAAAACGGAATTATTGATGACTCGGACGAGACTTCTTGTAATGAAACTCTTCGTTTGAATGGATTGTCTCGATGTCTGTGCCTTAGAATCGATTTGTGATTCAAATTCTGTCCGTCAGTATCGGATTGAACGGCAAGTTTGGCAACTGTTTCTTCATTGATGTCGAGACTATTCAAACTAACGGTGCTGTCGGAGAATATCATTGACGACTCGAGCGTCTCCTGCATTATGGCTGCCTGTGCTGTGATGTCAGCCAAACTTCCCCGAGTGCTCGGACTGGGAGTGTGTGGAGTGCTCTTGGCGTGCATTGAGACCGCAGTCGGTATGTCATCACAGCTATTATGACGACTGGCCGGAAGGCTTGTGTATTGCCGCGAAAGAGCGCCCACTTTGTTGTCCAGTGACTGCCTGTGGGCGTCAATGAGATCACAGGCCTGTCCTAACAGTACTATATTGATCACCAGTTTGAAACTCATCAAACTATTCATCAATTAAATGGTCAAATTGGTCAATCAATATGAAATGATAATTATTGTTTCAAACAATCTTAAATTGCTTACCAAAGATAGGAAACAAAAAGGCAAACCCATCCGTACCAACAGTTCAGATTCAAAGAACCGCTGAGTATTCGTATGACGAGAACCCCGAGTGGCAAAGGAATGAAACCCATTCTTCGGGACACAAGATCCGAGTGATCGGAAAACGCCTAATAATTCACATTATTTAATGTTAACATATAATGTTATCATATTGTATGAAAGTGTGGTAAGACATACACTTCTGAGTTTACTTGAGGCCAAATCATATGCCAGACTAACGGAGTATTCCTCATACACTTCAAATGAAATCTCATTAAAACGGGTAACGAATGCGTGTTTAAACCAATCGACAAATATTTCGGCAACAAATACAAGCAAACAATCGGGAAATAGGATCCAAAACTGTTTGTCACTCCAATTATATTCTTTCATTGTTTGAATGATAACAACGATTAATAGGATTATGTAATGAAAGCGTTCCCTCACATCACTGCAAGACATTTGAAATAGATTTGTTTTCTC